CCCCCCCCCCCGACACCCTATGGGGAACGCGGAGAGAACTGCTATGCACCCTTCTTTGCAATGTACGCGCACCTTAAGCACGTATCACTTGTCTTGACAAACCTGCAATCAGTGGTGGGAAGTACCTGGAATCCGCCATCTGGTCTACCTCCTTGTTCAAGTTACTCTGCTGCTTTAGATAGGGAGACAGTAGGGTGAAGGTGCCATGAGGGGCTGGGTGGGTGGAAATGAGGGGTGGAAATTAAGTGGGGAGTTGACAGAGGGCAATATAAAGGGAAAGTTGGAGGAAGATAAGTAACATCAAGGATGTTTTTAAAAAGTTACAGGGAAATATTATTTTATGTGTACTTAAAAAATGCACCTATTTTAAATGTGTTTATATACACACACTCACACATTTAAGTGACATCACTTGAGGCAATTATACTTCAATCAAGAGCCACAAATTATTGAACAAAAGTCCCAGTTCTGGGCATGAGAAAACTACCTTTGAATTATTAGGAGAGTCCAAGAGACTCCCAAAACAACCTAGGCTATTGCCAATGCCCTTGATTACATTCAAGAACGTGAAGGCAAGATCTTACTGCTAAAGATATAACATAGCTCAGGCACAGGACTGGAAGGAATCCTTCTGGAACTGACCTGGAAGCCTCCTCCCTGAGGGATGGCTCTTACAGTTTCTGGTGGTGCTAAGTAAGCTGCCAAGGGAGAAAAACAAATACAGTCCTACCCAGCTATGACACCGAGGAACCACAACATGGCAATGGTCAGCTTGGCAAGATACCCGTAAAGGTGCGCTAGTGGCAGACATCCATATCTTGGCAGCAGCCAACGGCTGCCTAATTGGACTTAAGCTAATTCAACAGGAGGGAAATCCTGCTTGGTACTGGAAACCTAGCTAACGGCCCATGGTTAGCAAAGTTATAGACTGTATAAGAGAACCTCCTGCCACTTTCATAAATCAGTATTACTTCTAACTGTATTCTAAATACTTATTCTTTACCCAGGTTAAGTGTTGTTCTCAACCCTCATCAAAGCAGAGGTTTTTGCAGCAGATGGAGACCATTATAAAAAGCCACAACAGGTCAAAATGCAGAGAATGACTGACTGTGGAATGCCCGGCTCAATCGATAACAGCTACAGCCTCTACACCTAAACCTCAGGGAAGACTGTGGAGAAGGCAAGAAGACTGTAAAAGCCTGAGAACCAGGATATTGGTTACACAACAGTGCGTCTCTACAGGACAAGGAAGCTGCGCCTATGAAATCTCAACAACACAGTGGCCTAAGGAAGGCCACACAATGACAACCCTAGTCAACATGTCAACAGTGATGGAGGAGATCACACCAGGCCCTGCACACCCCTAGATGGAGAGCTTCAGGCAATTAATGACTGCCAAGGGTTGTCGATTCATTCTTCCCAGGATGGAACTCCTTGGTAGGTTATCAAATACCTAAACACATTACACATATGAGCAACACTAACTGGATTTAACAGGGTGTGTGTGTGTGTGTGTGTGTGTGTGTGTACTGAGGTCATAAATTTGAGAGGGGATATGGAGGACACAGGAGAAGCTGGAGGGGGAGGAAGGGATAGAAATTATGTAAATACAGTACTTATATAAGAAATTATCAAAGAAAATAATAATAATAAAGACAGGCAGGGTGCTGCACAAAGCTCCGGCCGACCACAGAAGCACTGTCTCATCTTATATTTGCTTCACTTTGACTTCTAGACCCTTCCTTGATATGTTTTGACAAATGTATGTTATTTTCCATCCTCAGTCCCAGCATCTTCACTACGCTCCCACCCTCCACTTTACAGTCCCAGAGTTTGATCATTTCCTGAGGCGGCACCGCACACTCCTGAGACAGTTCAAACCTGGGCACCCACATCAGTGGCTCCCAACTGCCTTTAATTCCAGCACCAGGGGATCTGAAGCCCTTTTCTGAACTCTGTGGGCATTGACATCCATGGTCGCAAAAATCACAAAGAGACGTGCACACAGGGAGACATAGATAAAAAGAATACAAATCTTCAAGAACAAAAAGGCTCATGAGAAAATTGAACAAATGTATTTTACAACTATGTAAAGCTTGAAGGTAAAAGCTACGGCACCAAGAGGCGGCCAAGATGACTGGAGCGCCATCAGAAAATGCACAATTAGGGTGAGTGAGAGGGCTCAGTGGTTGAAAAACACTTGTCATTCAAACCCAACGACCTGACTGAGATTCCCTGAACCTAGAGTGAAAGGAGAGCCAAGTCCTAAAAGTCACCCTCCCCTCTTCATGCAAGCATCATGGCACACACACCTATGTGCACATGTGCACACGCATGCACACACATGCATACTTGCCTACACACGCGAATAATAAATGAAATAAAAATTAAAAAAAAAAACACCTCACAAAAATAGCAAACCGACATTTATCACCATGTTCGGCTTAGCACAATAAAACAGTTATATATATGCCTCGTCTGATAAAATGAGAACAAAACAAACAAGACCATAAAATTGCCACTTGGGGGGTGGCTGGTAACACTGTAAATTAATATTAGCTTCTCAAAGAACAACCTGGAAAAAGCTCAGAGAGATAACAAGGTGATGACCCAGTAATTCTTTGTTAAAAAAAAAAAAATCGTTGTTTCTATTATACCTAATAAGGCATAGTTGGAAATAATATGCGTGTTCAATAACTAACTGAGAGCTCTTTATACTATGTAACTGGGGCTAGGGAGATGACTTGGTGGTTAAGAGAACTTGCTGCTATTTCAAGGGACCCAAGTTCAGTCTCTAGCACCCATGGTGGGTGGCTCAGAACCACCTATGACTCCTGTTCGAGGATCCAGTGCCCTCTGCTGGCCTCCACAGGCATATGCACACATGTGAATACATATGCATTCAAGACATTTAAATAAATAATAAAAGAAACCTCAAAAATAAACTATAACTATTAATACAGTCAGATTAAAATGGGAATAAAATAAAAGAATAAAGAGCTACATAAATTAATGATACATTTTTTAAAAATTAGGTAATAAAATAGTGAGTAAAGTAAGGGAACTGCATAGTAGTCTTGGGAAAAACCAAACATTTCAAGGCAAAGGTCACAGGGAATTCTCTGTCCCCTGATCTATGTTACATGTGGTTTACCAGTTAGCCATTTTCTGGCGGCTCCCTTGCCTCCAAGGTTGGAGCCCTTTTCTTACAATTGACTAATTGTTCTCTCCTCCAAACAGAACCTCCCCTGTCCTGGAGGGAAACATAACGTTCTCTTTTGTGTCCTCTACTCTTGCACAGGAAGGCCAGCTTCACAGGCCTTGGGTTGTATCTGTTAACTGAGTTCTAGATAGCAACATGTCAGCAAGTCTGAGCACAGACGACAATTTCTACAGGGGTCACTGGTTTTCCTGACTCCCCAGGTGACAAACTCAACGCCTCCACCCATCCAAATTTTCTGATTGTCAGGCCACTCAGCAGCTATCAACCAGGGATGCCTCTACTTGTAACTTATAAATAGCTAAGAAAGCATTATGCAGGTATTATATAAATGTATACTATATATAAACATATCCTGGTTAGTTTTTCAACTTGTCACAGGTAAGAGTTTTTTAAAAAGAGGAAACCTCAGTTGAGAAACTGCTCCCACCAGACTGTCCCATGTGCAAGCCTGTGGAGTATTTTCTCGATTAATGTGATTAATGATTGATGTGGGAAGGCCCACCTCACCTCGGGCAGTGCCAACCTGGGGCAACTGGTCCTGAGTTGTATAAGAAAGCAGGTTGAGCAAGCCCTGTGGAGGAAACCAGAAAGCAGCCTTCTTCCATGGTTTCTACCTTCAGTTCCTGCCTTCAGGTTCCCACCCTGGCCCTGACTTCTCTCAGTGGTGAGGCAATCTTAGAGCTGTAAGGTGAAATAAACCCTTTCCTCCCCAACTTACTTTTGGTCATGATGTTTATCACAGCAGCAGAAACTCTGACCAATGGGTATATATGAAAATATCAATATTATATAAATTCAATGTTAATAACATTACTTTTAATGTTATATGTTATAGATTAGTAGCAGGCAATATTATCAAGACATCAATCTTCAAACACACATCTAATGATGTTTATATTAGAGGCAACA